AGATTTTTTTGTATTTGCGAATTTTGGTTATGCAATTTCGTCAAATTTTGATTTCTTTGAAATGGATTGTAGAATTATGGTAGTCAAAAGTGACGACGTAATTTTGGTTACTAAAAGGATGCAGACTGATCTGGCGTTCTCATCAGGTGTACATTAAAATTTTTCAAAATTTCTAAATTGGTTTACTACTTCTTACAACTTTGGAATTTTTCAAAATTTGAAAATATTATTTAATTTAAATTTTTTATAAAATTAAGTTTGTTTTACATAAATAGCGACGAATTTTCGAAAAATCAAAATGACATCTATTTTGAACAGCATTTAGATATTTTTTCGCAAATATATTTAGAGCTTTGTATTTAATTTGTGAATACAGATAACATTCTTAAATTTCGTAGAAACTTTTCATATTTCTTAGGAATAATCGGCTGGAAATAAATTTTCAACGCTTGTTTAAATCGAATATTGAAATTACACAGTTCCAAGTCTCAAAATTGTGAATTTATTAACTCAAAACTCAGAATATAACGACTTCAAATTTAAATTTTGTTTGTTACCGTAGTCTAAAAATTCGAAGTTCATTTCACAAAATTTTATTTGCTTAATTGTTGCCGATTTTTTATTTTCTTTTTAATTTCACAAATTTATAAACACATGATTTTTTAAGGCGCTGAGTTTTATAGAAATTTTAAAACGTCGAAATGTTTTAGTGGCTTTTGTAATTTTGTGATATCTTGACAATTAATTTAGAATCCTTTCAGAATATTTTTACCTTAATTTTTTGTTCAAGTTTTTGGATATCTGTTTACGGATTTCTAAGATTTCTTGGATTTGCGAATTTTGGTTATGAAATTTCTTCAGATTTAGTTTTCTTTGAAATCGCTTGTTGAATCATGGTAGTCAAAACTGACACGTAATTTTGACTATCAAAAGTATGCAGATTGATCTGGCGTTCTTATCACAGGTATACATTAAAATTTTTCAAAATTTTTAAATTGGTTTACAACTTCTTACAACTTTGGGATTTTTCAAAATTTGAAAATATTATTTAGTTTAAATTTTTTATAAAATTAATTTTATTTTTACATAAATAGCTATGAATTTTCGAAAAATCAAAATGACATCTATTTTGAACAGCATTTAGATATTTTTTCGCAAATCTATTCAGAGCTTTGTATTTAATTTGTAAATTCAGATAACATTCTTAAATTTCGTAGAAACTTTTCATATTTCTTAGGAATAATCGGCTGGAAATAAATTTTCAACGCTCGTTTAAATCGAATATTGAAATTACACAGTTCCAAGTCTCAAAATTGTGAATTTATTAACTCAAAACTCAGAATATAACGACTTCAAATTTAAATTTTGTTTGTTGTCGTAGTCTAAAAATTCCAAGTTCATTTCACAAAATTATATTTTCTTAATTGTTGCCGAATTTTTTATTTTCTTTTTAATTTCACAAATTTATAATCACATGATTTTTTAAGGCGCTGAGTTTTATAGAAATTTTAAAACGTCGAAATGTTTTAATGACCTTTGTAATTTTCTGATATCTTGACAATGAATTTAGAATCCTTTCAGAATATTTTTACTTTAATTTTTTGTTCAAGCCTTTGGATTTCTGTTTACAGATTTCTAAGATTTCTTGGATTTGCGAATTTTGGTTATGAAACTTCTTCAAATTTCGTTTTCTTTGAAATCGATTGTTGAATCATGGTAGTCAAAACTGACACGTAATTTTGACTATCAAAAGTATGCAGATTGATCTGGCGTTCTTATCACAGGTATACATTAAAATTTTTCAAAATTTTTAAATTGGTTTACAACTTCTTACAACTTTGGGATTTTTCAAAATTTGAAAATATTATTTAGTTTAAATTTTTTATAAAATTAATTTTGTTTTTACATAAATAGCTATGAATTTTCGAAAAATCAAAATCACATCTATTTTGAACAGCATTTAGATATTTTTTCGCAAATATATTTAGAGCTTTGTATTTAATTTGTAAATCCATATAACATTCTTAAATTTCGTAGAAACTTTTCATATTTCTTAGGAATAATCGGCTGAAAATAAATTTTCAACGCTTGTTTAAATCGAATATTGGAATTACACAGTTCCAAGTCTCAAAATTGTGAATTTATTAACTCAAAACTCAGAATATAACGACTTCAAATTTAAATTTTGTTTCTTGTCGTAGTCTAAAAATTCGAAGTTCATTTCACAAAATTATATTTGCTTAATAGTTGCCGATTTTTTATTTTCTTTTAGATTTCACAAATTTATAATCACATGATTTTTAAGGCGTTGAGTTTTATAGAAATTTTAAAACGTCGAAATGTTTTAATGGCCTTTGTAATTTTCTGATATCTTGACAATGAATTTAGAATCTTTTCAGAATATTTTTACTTTAATTTTTTGTCAAGTCTTTGGATATCTGTTTACAGATTTTTAAGATTTCTTGGATTTGCGAATTTTGGTTATGAAATTTTTTCAAATTTAGTTTTCTTGAAATCGCTTGTAGAATCATGATAGTCAAAATTGACACGTAATTTTGACTATCAAAAGTATGCAGATTGATCTGGCGTTCTCATCAGGTATACATTAAAATTTTTCAAAATTTCTAAATTGCTTTACGACTTCTCAAAACTTTGGGAATTTTCAAAATTTGAAAATATTATTTAGTTTAAATTTTTTATAAAATTAATTTTGTTTTTGCATAAATAGTTGTGAATTTCCAAAAATCAAAATGACATCTATTTTGAAAGGCATTTAGATATTTTTTCGCAAATATATTTAGAGCTTTGTATTTAATTTGTGAATACAGATAACGTTCTTAAATGTCGTAGAAACTTTCCATATTTCTTAGGAATAATCGGCTGGAAATAAATTTTCAACGCTTGTTTAAATCGAATATTGGACTTACACAATTCCAAGTCTCAAAATTGTGAATTTATTAATTCAAAACTCAGAATATAACAACTTCAAATTTAAATTTTGTTTGTTGTCGTAGTCTACAAATTCGAAGTTCATTTCACGAAATTATATTTGCTTAATTGTTGCCGATTTTTTATTTCCTTTTTGATTTCATAAATTTATAATCACATGATTTTTTAAGGCGCTGAGTTTTATAGAAATTTTAAAACGTCGAAATGTTTTAATGGCCTTTGTAATTTTCTGATATCTTGACAATGAATTTAGAATCCTTTCAGAATATTTTTACTTTAATTTTTTGTTCGGGTCTTTGGATATCTGTTTACAGATTTCTAAGATTTTTTGTATTTGCGAATTTTGGTTATGAAACTTCGTCAAATTTTGATTTCTTTGAAATAGATTGCAGAATTATGGTAGTCAAAAGTGACGACGTAGTTTTGACTATTAAAAGGATGCAGACTGCTCTGGCGTTCTCATCAGGTATACATTAAAATTTTTCAAAATTTCGAAATTGGGTTACTACTTCTTACAATTTTGGGATTTTTAAAAATTTTGAAAATATTGTTTAGTTTAAATTTTTTATAACATTCATTTTGTTTTTACATAAATAGCTATGAATTTTCGAAAAATCAAAATGACATCTATTTTGAAAAGCATTTAGATATTTTTTCACAAATATATTTAGAGCTTTGTGTTTAATTTGTGAATCCAGATAACATTCTTAAATTTCGTAGAAACTTTTCATATTTCTTAGGAATAATCGGCTGGAAATAAATTCTCAACGCTTGTTTAAATCGAATATTGAAATTACACAGTTCCAAGTCTCAAAACAGTGAATTTATTAACTCAAAATTCAGAATATAACAACTTCAAATTTAAATTTTGTTTGTTGTCGTAGTCTAAAAATTCGAAGTTCATTTCACAAAATTATATTTGCTTAATAGTTGCCGATTTTTTATTTTCTTTTTGATTTCATAAATTTATAATCACATGATTTTTTAAGGTGCTGAGTTTTATAGAAACTTTAAAACGTCGAAATGTTTCAATGGCCTTAGTAATTTTCTGATATCTTGACAATAAATTTAGAATCCTTTCAGAATATTTTTACTTTAGTTTGTTGTTCAAGTCTTTGGATATTTGTTTATAGATTTAAGATTTCTTGTATTTGCGAATTTTGGTTATGAAAGTTCTTCAAATTTTGTTTTTCAAAATTTCTAAATTGGTTTACGACTTCTTACAACATTGGAATTTTTCAAAATTTGAAAATACATATTTACTTAGTTTAAATTTTTTATAAAATTAATTTTATTTTTACATAAATAGCTATGAATTTTCGAAAAATCATAATGACACACAAACTTGCTTTTGGCCAATTTTTTTTTTATCTCACAGGTTTGTAATTAAGTATTTAATTATTGTTCAAGTATTTGAATTTCGGTCTACAAATTTCAAAATTTTCATGGATTGACAAATTTTGGTTTTTGAACCTTCTTTGAAATATTTTGTGTAAAAGTATGAGCGAGAAATCGTGAAAGAAAATTAACATTAAGAAGTGTTTTATAAATTGTTCGTGATGTAAATAAGAGGAAACGTATTTTAAATATTTGAAAATATTCAACAGTTGCCGACGGAAAACACATTAGCTCTAACCGACTATTTTTCATTTTTAGTTTTATTTTAATGGAATGAATATTTTTCTGGTCCTCAGATAACAGCAGTTTTTTTTTTGTTTGTACTGTAAGATAATAGCATTCCTAAAAAAATTTGGGTTGCTTTAAGGTTGTTTAACTTTCTTGTTCTTCAAGGAACCATTCTCGGACTGCCCCACTTTCCAATAAAATTGTCATAATTATTGCAATTAACAGTGAGATCGTCGCCAGGTGAAAAAAATGTTTGCTCTTCGTCTCTTCATCTTCCGCACCTCACGCCTCTTTTTCTCCGCAGGTCGCCGCCAGCGGCCGCCCCCGCCGCCTCCCGCAGCCCCCCCACGCGCACTTTTCCCGCTGTGGTCACCAGCACGGCACAGCGTCGCAGGCGGCCTTGATTTTTCCGCCGCCACACTCGCGCGGCGCGCCCCATCGCGGCTCCGTCCCTGAAGATGCCCGGCCGCGCCCGAAACCGCAGTTGACGGCCAGGATGCACCTCGCCGGCGAAGTCTCCTCGACCACGGGCTACGAGCGCCTCGGCGCCCTCACGGCCGAGATGCTCGCCGAGCGCACCATCGACGGCCTCCTCGCCGAGCACCCGGGCGAGCTGGTGCGCACCGGCAGCCCCCACGTGGTGTGCACGGTGCTGCCGCCGCACTGGCGCTCCAACAAGACGCTGCCGGTGGCGTTCAAGGTGGTGGCGCTGGGCGACGTCGGCGACGGCACGGTGGTCACGGTGCGGGCGGGAAACGACGAGAACTACTGCGCCGAGCTGCGGAACTGCACGGCGGTGATGAAGAACCAGGTGGCCAAGTTCAACGATTTGAGGTTCGTGGGAAGGAGCGGACGAGGTGAGTAAGGAGAGAAGGTGGTGTATGAGTGGCGTGCGCGACGACGAGTAGTCACGCTGGGACAAAAACAGTTTTTACTACCGATTTGTTTCGGATAAATTTAGTACATAGAATGAAGTCGCCCTTTAATGTAAAAAAAATTGACTTAGTTTTCTGCGCTTTTTAAAATCATTGAAATTGAGTAAAAATTCGTTAACGGTAGTATAAGATGGGATTCCTATATTACATTTAATGTAATAAATGTATTTGTGCATTTAAAAAAAACTGGTATTACTCCGGTTTCTAACAAGGGGCTTCTCTTATTTTATTTAAAAAAAATTTTGGACTTTTACAAATTTTGTCTTTCAAAACGAATATTTAGAAAATCTTGTCCCAGGACTACAGATATACTTATTTTTGGGATCAGCACGTCGAAATCTAAATCCTAGAATTTTTTGTGGATTTTTAGGCAACTTTTTCCAGAATCTTCCCTAAGAAATACCGCAACTTTTTTTTTTGATTATTTAATTTTTAAATTTTTAAACTTTTCGGTTTTTAATTTTTGAGTTTTCAATTAATACAGATTTTCTATTTTGGATCTTACAGTTTTTCGTTTTTTCAAATTTCCATTTTTGAATTTTTCGATTTATTAATGTCTTAATGCTCTTTTATTTTAATTTTCAGTTCTTTTATTTTTAAAATTTTTATTTCAATTCTGGAATTTTTAATTTCTCAATTAATCACTATATTTGCATTCGTGATTTTTCACTTTTTCGTTTTTTTAAATTATAATTTTTGAATTTTTCAATTTCTTAGTTTTCCGGTTATTCAATACATACTTCAATTTCGATTGTTTTATTTATTCGATTTTCAATTTTCAGATTTTTTTGCTTTTGTTTTTTTATTTTTCTGCTGCTCTATTTTTTATTTAAAATTGTTCAGTTTTTCGATTTTCCGATTTTTGATTTGTCGATTAATTCTTAATTTTCATTGTTATATTTTTCAGTTTTTCGTAGTTTTAAATTTTGATTTTCGAACTTTTCAATTTCTTCTTATTTCAATTTTTCGATTTTTAAAAATTTTCAGTTCTTGCATTTTTTAATTTTTGATTTCTCGTTTAATTAATAATGATTTTGTATATTATATAATTCCGTTTTTCGTTTTTTCAGATTCTAATTTCTTTGTTTTCTAAATTTTCTATTATTTAATTTTCACAGTTTTCAATTTTCGATTTTAAAAATTTTCCAGTTTTAAATTTTGATTTTTTTATTACTACTGATTTGCCATTTTAGAATTTTCAGGTTTCTGTTTTTCCAATTTATGATTTTAGAAAATTTCCATTTTTCGATATTTGTTTTCCAAATTTTTATTTTTAAATTTTTCGATTACAATTTTTCAATTTTGGATTTTTGATTTTTCAATTATTACTGATTTTCCATTTCACACTTTTCAGTTTTCGTATTTTCAAATTTTGATTTTTGAATTTTTCGATATTTTAATTTTTCAGCTTTTTTTATTGTTAATGTTATGATTATCTTATTTTTAGAAATTTTAATTCTTAAATGATTAGATTTTTTATTTTTCAATTAATAATTGTATTCCGTTATGACGTTTTAAATTTTTGCTTAGGTATTTCAATTTTTCGATTATTTAATTTTTAGAATTTCTAATTCTGGTATTTTAAATTTTTTTATTTTTTACTTAAATACTGATTTTCCATTTTAGGTTTTTCAGTTTTTCTTTTTTTCAAATTTTAATTTTTGAATTTTTCTGTTTCCTCTTTTTTCATTTCTGGCTTTCAATTTTTTACAATTTTCAGGTTACTGATTTTTCAATGAAGTTTTACTAATTTTCCAGTTTGGACTTTTCAAATTTTGGTTTTGTTTTTCTAAATATTAGGATTTTACGATTTTTTCGATTTTTTTAATTTTTCGACTTTTGATTTTTGAGATTGTTTAGTTTTTGTTTTTCAAATTATGATTTTTCAATTTTTCGGTTTCTTAGTTTTTCAGTTATTCCGTATTTCAATTTTTCGATTTTCTTAAATTTTGATTTTTCAATTACTTTTAGTACTTATTTTCCATTTTAGATTTTTCTATTTTTCTTTTTTAAAATTTCGATTTTTGAATTTTTCTTTTAAAATTGCGATTATTTCATTTTTACAGGTTTCAGTTTTTCGGTTTATAATTTTCCGATTTTTTGGGTTTTTTAGTTTTAATTTGTGGTTTTTCAGTTTATACTGATTTTCCAATTTAGATTTTTAAAGTTTTTGTTTTTACAATTTGTAACTTCAGAAATTTTGCATTTTCCCATTTTTTTAATTTATCCGTTTTTAATTTTTGATTTTTCAATTGTTACTGATTTTACGTTTTGGATTTATAATTTTTTTTGTTATTTCAAAAATGAATTTTTTTTTCTTAGTTTTTCAATTATTGCTTATTTAAATTTTTGGATTATTTAACTTTTAAAATTTTCAATGTTTCGATTTTTTGGTTTTGGTTTTTAATTTTGTCTTTTCAATTATTACTTATTTTCCATTTTAGATTCTTCTATTTTTTGTTTTTTCAAACTTAGATTGTTAAATTTTATGATTTCCTACTTTTTTATCTTTATCAATTTTTCGATGATTTAATTTTTAGAATTTCTAATTCTGGTATTTTAAAATTTTTTATTTTTTACTTAAATACTGATTTTCCATTTTAGATTTTTCAGTTTGTCTTTCTTCCAAATTTTAATTTTTGGAATTTTTCGATTTCCTCCTTTTTCAATGCTGGCTTTCAATTTTTTACAATTTTCAGGTTTCTGCTTTTTCAATGAAGTTTTATCAATTTTTAAGTTTAGACTTTTCAAATTTTTGTTTTGTTTTTCTAAATACTAGGATTTTACGATTTTTTCGATTTTTTTCATTTTTCGCTTTTTGATTCTTGAGATTGTTTAGTTTTTTGTTTTTCAAATTATGATTTTACAATTTTTCGGTTTCTCAGTTTTTCAGTTATTCAGTATTTCAATTTTTCGATTTTCTTAAATTTTGGTTTTTCAATTACTTTTAGTACTTATATAGGTATTTTCCATTTTAGATTTTTCTATTTTTCTTTTTTAAAGTTTAGATTCTTGAAATTTTCTTTTAAATTTTCGATTATTTCATTTTTACAGGTTTCAGTTTTTCGGTTTATAATTTTTCGATTTTTTGGGTTTTTTAGTTTTAATTTGCGGTTTTTCAGTTTGTTTATATTGATTTTCCAATTTAGATTTTTAAAGTTTTGGTTTTTACAAATCGTAACTTCAGAAATTTTGCATTTTTCCATTTTTTTAATTTATCCGTTTTTAATTTTTGATTTTTCAGTTGTTACTGATTTTACGTTTTGGATTTATAATTTTTTTTGTTGTTTCAAATTTTGAGTTATGATTTTTTTTCTTACTTTTTCAGTTATTGCTTATTTAAATTTTTGAATTATTAACTTTTAAAACTTTCAATGTTTCGATTTTTTGGTTTAGGTTTTTAATTTTGTTTTTTCAATTATTAGATACTTATTTTCCATTTTAGATTCTTCTATTTTTTGTTTTTTCAAACTTAGATTGTTAAATTTTATGATTTCCTACTTTTATATCTTTATCAATTTTTCGATGATTTAATTTTTAGGATTTTCAATTCTTGCTTTTTTAAGTTTTTTATCTTTCAGGCACATTACATTTTTTAGTTTTTCGTTTTTACAAAATTTGATGGTTGAATTTTTTTGTCTGTTTTTCAGTTAATCCTGCTTTTAATTTTTCGATTATTTAATTTTTACAGGTTTTAATTTTTCGATATTTAATTTTTCCCTTTTTTGGGTTTTTTTGTTTTAATTTTTGATTTTTAAATTTGTTAATATTTTCTTATTTTCAGTTATGTTATATTTAGAATTTTCAATTCTTGGATCTTTAAATTTTTTTTCGATTATTTTATTTTTTCTATTTTAAATTTTTAGATTTTTTTTGTTGTTTACTCTATTTATATTTCATTTTTCATTTAAAATTCTTCAGATTTTCGATTTTTCAATTTTTCGATTTTTGATTTTTCGAATATTTACTAATTTTCCAATTATATTTTTCAGTTTTTCATGGTTTCAAATTTTGATTTTCGAAATTTTAGATTTTTTAGTTTTTCAACTAATTCCCTATTTGAATTTTTCGATTATGAAATTTTTTCAGTTATTTATTTTCCATTTTAGATTTTTCTGTTTTTTGTTTTTTCAAACTTTGATTTCTGAATTGTACGATTTTCTACGTTTTCAATTATTCCTTATTGTAATTTTTCGATTATTTAATTATTAGGATTTTGAATTCTTGCTTTGAGTTTTTGCTTAAATACTGATTTTCCATTTTAGATTTTTTAGTCTTTCGGTTTTCCAAATTTTTATTTTTAAATTTTTAAAATTATGTCATAATTTTCAGGTTCTCGATTATATTCAGTTTTTGATTTTTCAAACTTTAGTTGTTTAGTTTTTAAATTATTGAAATTTTCGATTGTTCAACTATCCGATTTTCCAATTTTCGAATCTCTCAATCTTTTAATCTCCGAGTGTTTTAATGTTTCATTCAAATGAAAAAAAATCCAGAAACTGGAAATACTGGAAAATAAAAAAAAATCGAATAATTGAAAAATCGACAAATCGAAAAATCAGAAGTTAAAAATTGAATAACGGAAAAATCAAAAAGTGAAAAATTAAAATAATACCATTGGTGTAAAATTTAAATTTTCACAATATTGGCAAAATAATTTTGTTGAAGCCATTTTTGAGACCAGTAGAAGATTTAAGAGTTTCTGTACAGATTGTATAAAAAAAAATGTATGTTTTTTGAAAATTATCTAATGAAATTTCCTGTAAATTCCGTCGTCCAAAAGTTATGTTCGGCGTTATTTCTGACCATCTTTTTAGATTCACAGACGCCTAATTCGTCAAATTTTAGGATTTTTATCTTTCAAATCGAGTATTTCGAAAATCTTGCCGTCGACGTTTTGGCGTTTCCCCTCTCCTGCGGCG